AGGAAATGTTTAAAGATGGTCTTGAAACAAAATATTCCAAGCTAGGACATTAATTTCAAAACAGCTTATTTCTCTGAACATTCAATCTGAAAAAAAAAAAATTAAGGCTCCTTAATCATTCCAAAAGTGGTCCACAAGATAGCCACAGCTCCATAAACTTCAGAATGAAATAGTTAAAGAATTGCACCAACAAATAATTGGGAAGACTAAACCTCTGATCCAAGTGACCGACCCAGATTGGATCCTGCAATATTATCCTGGGACACGTATATTTGCCTTCATTCGTAATACTTTTTGGGACTATTTCAGCCAATTTGCCTATGATGGTTGTTATTTGCTCAGTTTGCTGCCATTCTTCTTTGATGCTGCTTCTGAAATTCCTGAAAAAATATTTCTAAAAATATGACAGAACCCTCACTTGGAGGCTACTGATGCAAAATGTTTTTATATGTGTAAAAAATCTTAGGCTCTTTAGTTTTACATAATTTTTCAAGCAGCTTGTTGGTGAGTAGAATTCCAACAATTTTCTTATTTTTCTGTACTTCTATAACAAGTAGGTTTTTCATTAAAAAAATTGTGAAAGTACTTGGAAGATTTTTCAAAGAATTTGTTTGGCAACGGTCTCAAGGAGAATTTCATGTTACAGTCCAGCTGAAAAATTATCATTAAAAATAGCACATTTTTGTGATAGCCATATATTAGCCTTAGCATTTTTCTTCAGTGATCTGATCTTCTGGAGACAATATTTCCTTGAGGATACTACAAATATTTAACTCATGTCGTCTATGGTTCTCTATTTTGCAAACCTGGATAATAAGTTAAACCAGTAACTAAGTTTAAAAAGTTATGAATACAGCCTTAATCTCCAGTTGTGGGTTGTTGAATCATTTTGGACAACTGATTAGATGAGGCTTGGACACTGCCACACAGTTGATTATGTTTTGGTGTTTCTACAACATAATTGATCAGGACTGAGCTAAATCTGGGTCTCTTTTGTATTAAAACCAACTTTTCTTCCTGCCCCTGTCTGGGCCCTGCTGTAGTCATAATATGTTATCCTGACCTTGACTCAGTAATGTATATTCTGCAAATCTGATTTTGGCTCTGGCTGTGCCTTCTCTCCTGCTTCTGCTTTCTCTTTAGCCCCATCCTGTTGGATCCTCTTTGCAGTTCTAGGGAAAAACTAATTCTTAATTCTTAAGAATTCTTAAGCTTCTTAATAGATCTCAGCTTACTGTATTGTGCTTTTCATTTTGGCTTTTTGCACTGTGTGAAGTGTCCCTCTTCAACTTTGGCAGCTTGAAGATGTGTGGACTTTATGAATTCCTCAGCCAGGATGGCTTGCTTGGGAATTCTGGGAGTTAAAGTCCATATATTTTCAAGCTGCCAAGGTTGAGAAATGCTGCTTATTTTATTTGATTGAAAGAACATAATAAACATCATGACACTGCTGGGTCTATAGAACATTCCAATCCAGATCAGTTAAACATTTAGCAATGCATTTCCCCAACAACCTAAGCTTCATTATTATTAACTTTCACTAGACCTTTTATGATTTAGCATGTAGTGCAAATAGAGCTGATTTCTTTCTGAGCAAGATACCATCCTGTGTATTTTGTATTGAATGCTTCGGTGTGGTGCCTGTATTAACAATTACCAGCAACCTACCATGTGAAATAAGGGTAATGAAAGTTTCTTAACACAAATAAAACTTTTCTACAAGAACTTTAGTGAGGCAAACATTCACAGCAAGGATGAAAATGAGACAGTCTTGGCTGAAGTTTGTCTTGGCTGGACTTTGGCTGTCAGAATCTTCAATATTAACCAATCCAAAAGAATGCTGGTTTTTTTTTTCTTCTTCAACAAACTCTTTTGTCTTTTTTTTCTGATATTTAAGAATCTGGTTATCCTTCTCCCTTGCTACATAGCTAATGGAAAAAAGTCACAAACCACTCTAGCCATACTAAAAGATTTGCTGGTTAGGGAATTCTGGGAGTTGAAGTCTAGGCAACCTAAAGTTGCCGATGTTGAGAAACACTGCTTTTATGCACCTTTCTTTCTACACTAAAAAGTTCCAAATACTATTGTTTTTTCCTAGATGGAGAGCAATTTTAACCCTTAACTATTTTGGTTGCCCTTTTTTTGTATTTTTTGTAGAGTATTTTTTTTAAGTATACTGCTGTGTACGCGGCATTCTTACAATTGTTGCACTACATAAAAGTATTGCTATCAACCTTTGGCCATATCTCAAGATCTCTCAAAATGTGAAGCTGTTTCAGATTCTTTTAATTCTGTGTTCCCAGATATTGGTGCAATTTGACCACTGAACCCAAAGAATAGCAGGTGCCCCAGAGGGTTGTAAGCCAAACTGATGGAATGTGTTGATACGTCTCCTATATTAAAGAAAATGACACTTATGTTAGTTACCTGGAGCTTTCTTCTGATCCAGTCAGGGCAGAATTACCCATTGTGCTAAAAAAAAAAAAAATTCCTCATATATTGTACATGTACTTGTACATTTTACAAGACTCTCATGAATTGACATCCCTTCCTTTGTGTCAGTCTCTGGGAACAATGTCTTTTTTTTTGGTCTTGGAATGGGTAATGTAAGCACCCCTTAGACTCAACCAAGGGACCAAGCAAAAAACTGCCACCCCAATTTTCTGTTGCTTTATCAGATGGATTAAAGTGGTATTTCTCAAACTCAGCACCTTTAACATATGTGGACTGAGAAATACTGGTTTAGAAGACTTTCCTCACAAAGATTGTCAAAACCACTTGCTCTTGAATCAGCTCCTTGGAAAGAGTGAAATGCAGTGGTGGGATTCTGCCGGTTCTAGGCGGTTCGGCCGAACCGTTTGTTAAATTGCTGGCTCACCCCGCCCGTTGCCCCACCCCTCCGCACCACTATTTATTGCCAATAAATAGTGGCAGGCGGGGCGAGGGGCGGGCGAGCCATTAATTTAACAAATGGTTCGGTGTTTTTTTGTAATTTATTGGCCTCGCAGCACACCGAACCATTTGTTAAATTGCTGGCTCACCCGCCCCTTGCCCCGCCCCGCCTCCCACCTGCGCGGCACCAGCCTACTCTAGCCCATCCAGTTGCTGGAGGAAACATGTGACTTTTCTCTGCCCCGGAACACTGGCTGCCCAGGCTGCAGCTGAAACTCCGCATCGTAATGGGCTCCAGGAGGAGGAGCGGCGCCATCTGCCCCATTGCAAAGTTCAGTAAGAGCAACCAAAGCCAGCTGCATGCGCAGCCAGGCGGGCGCACGTCCAGTGGGGCACAGGCTTAAGATGCCGCCTCCAAGCAGAGGGGTGACCCGATGGTGCGGTAGGTGCGCTGCCGCCACCACCCAAACAGAAGAGGGGAAAGAGATGGAGAGAAAGAGATGAAGGAGAGAAAGAGGGGGGAGAGAGAGGGAGAGAAAGAGAGGGAGGGAGAAAGAGATGAGGAGAAAGATGAAGGAAAGAAAGAGTGGGGGAGAAAGAAAGAGATGGGAGAGATGAAAGAGACACACAGAGATACCTGTTGAAAATACTGGGAGCCACAAAACCTGGGTGGGAGTAAGTGATATGGAGTTGGCAATGCCCACCCAGGTTTAAGGTTGTGTTTAAGTGTTTACATGTGTTTAAGGTTGAGTGTTTAAAGTTGCAGACCCCTGACCTACCCCATCCGATCGCTTCACCCTGCAGCCAGCCCTGTAGGCCTGCGCCCGCCTCCCACCTGGGCAGCAGTGGCCTACCTAGCCCGGTTGTATCACCTTGCCCTGCAGCTGGCCTGAACGCCCACCTCGGACTGCCTCCGACTGCTCCAGCAGATCATTGTTATTTAATTAATTTAATTAAGAATGCTGCAATGGGCATAAATGATGACCGGTCAAAAGTGCGAGGATCTGTCAGAAATTGCTTTTTTCAGCCCTCTGGGTATCCCTATGTGCATATGGACTACTCAGACGGCTAAAAAAGTTATTTTTGGCCGGTCCTCGCACTTTTGACCGGTCCTCGCATTTACGACTGTCCTCACATTTTACATTTTGCGCCCTATCTTTTCACCATGGTGAAGAGAAATAGTTGTGAAATGAGTGACACGGTTGTTAAGAATGCTGCAACGGGCAGAAATGTGAGGACCAGTCAAAAGTGCGAGGACCAGTTAGAAATGACTTTTTTCAGCCCTCTGAGTAGTCCCTATGCACATAGCCATGCCCACCCGGTCAAATGACCAGCTAGCCATGCTCACCCGGTCACATGACCACCAAGCCACACACCCCCAACTAAGCCATGCCCACAGAACCAGTTGTTAAAAAAATGAATCCCACCACTGGTGAAATGTTATATGTAACCTCCAGAGGAGTCCATTGTCATCACTGCTACTGTAGCTATTCAAAGAACTATGAAAGATTAAGAGTTAGCACTGGATTCTCCTGTAGTCAAGGTGAGCCAAGGTGGCGCAGTGGTTAGAGTGCAGTACTGCAGTTACTTCAGCTGACTGCAGACTGCTAGTTCAGCAGATCAGTGGATCAAATCTCACCGGCTCAAGGTTGACTCAGCCTTCCATCCTTCCGAGGTGGGTAAAATGAGGACCCAGATTGTTGGGGGCAATATGCTATTTAGTATACTGTCTTTGGTGTAAGCCGCCCAGAGTCCTCGGAGAGTGGGCGGCATAGAAATATGACTAATAATAATAATAATAATAATAATAATAATAATAATAATAATAATTCTTTTCCCCTTACCCCTATTGTATATAAATTTTGAGATGCAGTATAGAATCATGGTAATGGTTTAAATGCTATCTAGGTTTTCCTCAAATTTTGTAAGAGTAGGGCCTATACGAAGCCTTTGGATACTGGTGACATAGAGAAAGAAAGGGAGGGAGGAAATTTGCTGCATCTTCAAGAAGTGTTCCCAATCTTGGATTTATTTTCTTTATTAGGTGATAGGAAAAGTTGTCTGTATATTATGCTATTGTTTGAAACAGATAACAAGAACCGTCTTGGGATGGTGAAACCATTAATACTTTTATTTTTTTTATAATAATTAAGTTAGAACAACAAAATCTTGGCTACAAGTTCATGACAGATAAAATCTTTAAAAAGAGAACTTTAAAAAAGGAACAACTGAACAGTATCCATCGAAATAGGCCTAAATCACTCCTTGCAAGGACAAGCTCTTTCAAGAGGACTGACAAACACTGAGACCCCTGACCAGGAGGTGGGATCCTGTAAGGTCTTCCCATTAGAGTACAGAGCCTCTAACCTTAACCCTCAAGTACCATGTAAGCCGATGGTGCCAGTTCACAAAATGACTAATATGTTACAGTTGACCCTATATGAAATGGGGAAGGTAGGAGGTAGCTATCACCCTTTGGTCTCTCCTCAGGAATCCTATGACCAGAAATCTCCAGTCCTTTTTACCTTGGAAGGCAATGCATTCCCACTTTTCATGTAATCACTAGTGAAGTTGGCCAGGATAAGCTATTTCAAGAATCGTATGGCTGTTTGTGCATTTACACTGTGGGCTAAGCCACAATACTCAGATTCATTCAACATGCTATGTTGAAACAAGGCAAATCAATTGATGGCTTGGCTCAGTGTATGAATCAGGTCAGAGTTTCCTGCCCATCCATTGCTCAAGGGTAAAACTATTCGACTTTGTCACATAAACATCTGTCAGAATTGGAAATTTAAGTATCATTGGATCTTTAACTGAAGAATTACATTTTATTTTAAAGTCATTCAAACTGATTGAAGACAGCAAGGAAAAACATCAAATGAGTTCCCCAATTAAAATATTACTATTATTTTGTGACATTCATTCTTGTAAGTTTCCAAAGTCCGGCAAACTACTATAGGAAAAATAATTTAAACATCTGCTTTATATATTTGTGTTTTAAGTGCCCTTCCTCCTGACTCTTGCAAAGAGACATTTGAAATCATGACTTCTCATATTCAGAAGGCCAGGCAAGAAGAAATTTAGCTCAGGCAATGGGAGGAAAGATTATGTATATGAGGATACTCCAGATGTTTTCCATGAATATTTATGTAACATTTTAAAGAAGATCTTCTCTTTCTCTTTTCTCAAGAGAAGATTTTATCCAATAGCTCACTGATCTTCTACTTTCCAGCCACTGAGTTCAAAGGCACTGACATATGTAAAATGTATGTTTGTCAGATGCACAAAATGCAAATTTTATTGCATTGCTTTTAAGGCAACTTAAATAATATTAAACATATTAAGCTACCTGGGTTTAGCTCTGGCTGTTTTGTATTTACTTTGTCCCTTTCAAGCCCACCCCTGCCCATCCATATCCCCGTCTGCTTTTTCACTAGCATCTGCCTAACTCTGGACCTGCAAACGGGTTGGGAAGACACAACTGCATTTCTGCCTGGCTGGGAACTACCAAAATCAGAACACAGCAGGCTGTTGTTAGCCCATGTAGTCCAGATCAGCATGCCAATGTGGAAGAGACATTCTTCTTGTCTTGAAGCATTTGCTGGGCTTTCCCAGAAAAGATTTGCCTGAGTGAGTGAGTTTAGTCAGGCAGCAGGAGTCACATGTAAAATGGTTAACTTGCAAGTCCATGGCAGACAATATAGCAAATTAATCAGGCCTGCGCTTGACATACTCCCAGTTTTACCTTAATGACAGTAAGTTTACTCTGTTCTGAAGCCACTTTCTTCCTATATTTAGGCATAGCAATTTTTGCCTCCATGTTTTGTCTCTAAAGAACCCGTATTCTGCTCCTGGTTAGCCTGGAAACCCAGGTGGGCAAGCACTGGCTGCAGGAGATGCCGCTGAGATGTTTGCTCAGAGATTCTTCTGGAAGCAGCACAAACATGTAGGCGCGGCTGGAATACTTTCCAGGTGGTCTGCCCCAATTGAGGACAAAAAAAATGGACCTCAGTGGGTTAACTAAGGTTTGAGAAAAGATTTGGGGCGAGAAAAGAACAGGACGTCCATACAAATGCAGAATGCTTTTGCCTTCGTTTTCACTTCCCTAAAGTGCCGTTTGCCCATGAGGGGAAAGTGTCTAAATGGAACATGTAACGACCCCAGCTGTTGATGGCCACAGTTACGCAAATGACTCCAATGATATTCATCACAATTCCAGTTTTAACCTGGAGGGGAGAGAAAAACAAAGAAAACAATGAGCAGTCCAAAGGTTCTGTGGCTCATTCATAGAGCAAGCAAGAGGAGGAGTCATAAGTCCCATGTCAGTTTGTGATGTTTTTGTAACCGGAAGGGAATCACCCCATTCTCCCTGTTCCAGGAATACATTGTGCAAGTACCCTTTGCTCCCCCTTTTGCATATTCTGGGAAATTCCAAAGAACAAAATGAACACCAACAGCCTCCCCCTCCATTTAGAACTTAACACCGTCACTGGGGGAATTGTAGCATTGGACCTTCTGAACTTCTCACGTACAAACTACGGTAGGCTCAGATTTAACTGAGACACACTATTATGCAAGATTGTCCCAATCATTAGAGATATATACCTATTTTATTCTAAAGGGGGAAAAAATCCGATGCTGCTGAATTGCTGGAATAGCTTGGACAAGCTGCTATGGGATTAGGATGGGAGCTTTCGGTCCATTTTGTTACTGCTCCTTCCAAATTTGTGTTTTGCCTTCAAAGTTTTATGGAAACTGGAAGGTTAGAATGCATATATCACTGAACAACCACTGAGCTTTCTGGTGCTAACAGTAATTTATTTATACCCTACTTTACAAAAAGTAAAGTGTGGTATTTCAATAAGTTCTAAATTAGTAGTAGGAATGCCTCAAAATTTACACTTGGACGCCAAATTGAAACTCTAGTTTTATATTTCAAAATGAGGATAAATCCATTTTTTTCAGAACTTTTATTTAACTTTACATTCCAACAGAAGAAAAAAATATTTGGCTTTACAGACACTGTCTGTTGTGTGACACTGCATACAACAAGTGTATAGAGCTTTTTCTGACAGACACATAAGCACTTTGAGTGATGTGCCTAAAGACATACTCCCAAAAGAAAGCAAGTTTCAGGATGAAAAACGTGTTTTATTTGAGTGAATTTAAACCAAAATGCAATGGCAACACAACACCTAGCTTTACCCTGATGGATACTGAAAAATCAAACAAAAGTCAGATCTGGTTGTTATTTCCATGGAAGATCATAAAAAAAAACCAGTATTGAAAATTAGACTGAAAAATCTTTTTAAATGGATTTCATTTCTATATTCCTGTCAGCTGGATATATCCTTGAAGTTATTATAGCATTACTAACTCAAAGGAAGCTTACACAGAATTACAGTATAAACGTGATAACTAAAATCCCTTTCAATCAAATAAATAATTACAGCTTTTATATTTGGGTTGGCCCTCTGGATATTGGAAATACCTCTACTTTAAAAAAACACCTTGCCTTCTTTTTAAAAACTTAGATATTGTAGCTTCAGTTGAAAGCAAAATTGCTAGCTTACCATGTCAGATACGTGGAGATGGCCATATGAGAATACAATGGCGTTTGGAGGGGTTGCTACAGGAAGCATGAAAGCGAATGAAGCACTGAGAGTGCCTGGGATCATGATGTACAAAGGGTTCACTTCAATAGACTGTGACTAGACAGACAGAAGCAGAGAAGGAATGGGAAAGAAGGGAGAGAAACATTTACAGCATTGAACTGATATGTGGATAGACATACAGGTCTGAAGCAACAAACGAATATTTTAGAAGCTCCCACTCTAAAACCAGTTCCAGAGCAGAAACACAACATAAGGGAAACAGTTGGTGGAGCTGGCCAAGCATTTTGTACTCCTTTCAGAGGCTATAAACAAAAGTCAAGGCTGATGACATCATCAGTTGTGTCTTAAAGCAGGGGTCTCCAACCTTGGCAACTTTAAGACTTGTGGACTTCAACTCCCAGAATTCCCAGCTGAGGATTTAGCTGTCTTAAAGGACCAAATTAATGTATATTGGTCTCTTGACTGCCACACCAAACAAAGAACAAAATAATTTCAGAAGCACAGGTTGCCCCATAAGAATATAGCCTTGGCATAAAAAGTTGCTGGGCAGAATTGATATGTTATTAAATGATTCTCCAACAGGTTGCGACTCAAGGATAGCTCTTCCCACAATTCAAAGCAATGGACCTCTCTCCAAGTTAGGAAGAAATCCTGAAAGCAGCAATTTCTACATCAAAAATATACCTCCCCTCACATACCTCTCCCATACAGTAATAGTTGCTGCAGTTATGCACCTGAGACAAATTCCTTGTGTGCTCAATCACATTTGGCCAATAAATAATTCTATCTTGCAATTTTATAATGTGATCAGATTGTACTGAAAAAATGAAGCATGCCCTAGGGCAGGGGTGTCAAACTCGCAGCCAGCAGGCCAGATGCATCACGCACTAACCACGCCCATGCCCGATTTAGCGAAGGGGAAAAAAGTTGTGATACGTCACATGACACGGCTGTGATGATGCATGTTTGACAACCCTGCTCTAGGGCAACTGCTCTGAGAAAGATTGCCTCCATATACAAACAAAGGAAGCATAAATATTTAGTCATCAATTCAAAAGCTCCCTCAATAGTTCTGTCCTTTTTTTATTTTCCCTTCCATTGAAATCTACTCCCTTGTTCTTCCAAATTTCTCTACAATGCTATTGTTCTCATGGTCATGCTGGCTCAATCCCCTATTCTAACATCCTGTTCCATTGTTTTGTTCACATAACATGCTTCACCTGGTTTCTGAATTAACCCATTGTCTGAATTTGCATAAACACTGAGCCATAAACTAAATTTCACACAAGATGGAACATCACAAAAAAATTAACCAAGGCTACCTTGCTGTAAGGATGCTGTTAAGAACTGTTGGCTTATTTAATTAGCACATCTAATTATATATATATTATATGTATTCTTGTATGAACATAGCTATAAATACATAACTGAAATAAATGTACCTTCTACTGCTGTTTACCCTTGATTTTACTTTCTTCCTTTCCTATTCCTTGTGTTGAAATATTGTGTGTATGTTACTTTAGTAATGGATCATCTTCTTTATAACTATGCACATTGATGAAGTTTTCAAAGCAACAAATCATCCATTTGGTCCTGTTGCTTTCAATTAATCAAAGAAAAGTCACCTCTTGGAGCCCCCAAACTGAATCTGATCCCATATAAAACACTGGATGATCCCCAAGCACCTAATCTAGAAGCCTATGGATCATTCATGCACCTTGCTGGAATGGTCGTATTATGCGTTACAAAACAAAAATTTCAAAATAAATTTCAGCCACGAAAAGAGCTTTACCAATGATGCAAAGACGGGCAGGAAGAGGGTGGCTGTGGCTACGTTACTGGTACATTCAGTGAAAATGGCGATGGCAATACAGAGAATAATTGCAATGGCCCAGGGAGGAATGGTATGCAGTGGTGTCATCTGATTCCCCAGCCATTTGGACAGCCCCGAAGCCTGTTAGATAAAGGGAGGAAAACTGAGTTAGAAAGAAAATCCCCTAAAATAAAAACATTACAAAGACTAAATTCATATAATAAACAAGATCTCAGTTTTTAAAATAGAATAACTGTATTTAGGAATATGATTTGCCCAAATAAATAAATCATGTTTTGGCTTAATGTGGTGGCATAACTTACACTACATATTATCACAGAGGCTACAATATGCTGAGCCACAATCTACCCAACCCATTTTAATGTAAATTAGTGCAAATCCAGGCATATTCCTCTCTTGACTATGAAGACAAGATGAAACATAAGTCCTCATACGGTAGCTAGCTAAAAGTCAACTTCTATTTAATGGTGGGGACATTTTTATCAATAACCATTCACCCTCAGATTTAAATGAAACCTCCAAATTCAGAAAAAATATATCTCTGTATAGTAGGTCTAGGGCCAAACAACTACTGGCTATCATAATACAATATTCAGATCAGAATAGTGGAAATCATGTCTGAATATGTTTAGCCTAGAAGATGATTTTCACATCAATCGCATTGGACTAGAAAAGGAATAATATATGTTTTTTACTGCCCCAGATGGAAGGACTAGAACCAGGTAGTAAGAATTGTAGGGAAGCACAATTTTTAGTAATCCTCAAAAGACATGTCCTAATACCAGTCTACTCTGGGATGTAATGGGAGATCTCTTTGCTGGAGAGAGTTTTTTTTCCTTTCATTTAATTGTGTCTGATCTTGAAGACTTCCTGGACAAGTCCAGTGGTGGGAGTCAAATTTTTTTACTACCACTTCTGTGGGCATGGCTTGGTGGGCGTGGCATGGCTTGGTGGGCATGGCAGGGGAAGGATACTGTAAAATCTCCATTCCCACCCCACTCCAGGGGAAGGTTACTGCAAAATCCCCATTTCCTCCTGATCAGCTAGGACTTGGGAGGCAAAGAATAGATGGGGGCAGGGCCAGTCAGAGGTGGTATTTAACGGTTCTCTGAACTACTCAAAATTTCCGCTACCGATTCTCCAGAACAGCTCAGAACCTGTTGAATGCCACCTCTGGACAAGTCCCTTCAGTTTTCCTGGCATGGTGTTTCAAAAGTGGTTTCCCATTGGTTTCCTAGGGCTGAGAGAAAGTGACTGGCCCAAGGTCACCAGGGTGGCTTTGGGCCTAAGGCAGGCCTAGAACTCTCAGTCTTCCAATTTCCAGCCTGAAACACTGCACTAAACCAACTCTCTGGTGGAGCTTAAACAACAATTTAGTCAAGGAAGAGTTGTACTGATACCAGTGGTGGGTTGCCCCCGGTTCGAACCGGTTCTCAAGAACCGGTAGTAAAACTGGTGGGAGGCTCCGCCCACTGGCCCGGACATCGTCAGGAAGCTTCTGCACATGCGCAGAAGTGCACGCGCGGTCCCGTCACAAACCGGTAGTAAAGGTAAGTAGAACCCACTCCTGACTGACACCTCTGGCTAATTGACAGATTGGATGTATATGATGTCTAAGATCCCTTCCAATTCTATGGCTGTATTCATATATACATTACCCCTGATTACTGAATTAACATGTTTAATTCAGTTCTAAACCAGCAAAACTGTTCTTACAAATAGTTGGCGGAATTTAGCCATCCCTCCATATGGGTTATGCTCCTTTTAGAAAAATAATGGGTTAATTTCTAAGCCACATACTTAAGGATATAACATTACAGAGACCTTGGTGCTCTCTGAGCTTGTTGGTTGCTTGCAGATGTTTCATTATCCGACTAGAAAACACCAACAGTGCATGATGTTATCTAGCTGGGTAATGAAATACCTGCAAGCAAACAACCAAGCTCAGAGAGCACCAAGGACCACAGTTCAACTCAGATCTACAGATATTCTATTTAAATGCATTATTATTCCATGCACCATTTTTTCCTATCCCAGCTGCTTACTTGATGGCTACAGCAAGTGCTCTATTAGGCAAACATAGCTCGGTAAAGAATCTCATGAACCCTTTCCTATGTCTCACAATTTTTTATTTTATTATTTTTTTTGCCTGGGAGGGAAAGCAACAATCCCAACTTTTATTCCACAAAATGCAAAAATGTAATTTTATATTCTTCACATATGCAAAGGAAGCAACGTCCACTTCCACGGAAGCCACATCAAATCCTCACACAACTCTTTCCACATCCATGAGGTGTGCGCAGGAGAATTTGCCTATTCACCTTTAAAGCTATAAGAGTAGTAACCCATAATACGTATCTGCCAGCTGTAGAGGAAAAAACTCAGTCTCTGCTTCTAGCCAGCCAGAGCTCAACTATAACCCAAAACACATCAGAATATGAGCAGCAGCATCTTTTGGGTGACCATATACTCTGCAAGGCATCAACACCAAAAGAAGGGATGTGCCTGGCTGGGAGGCACAGGAACTTCTTTGTCTGGCTCCTGTGTTTCTCTCTCCTGCCAAAGGCTCTTTTGGGAGAACAAGGGCAGCCTGTTCCTTACAGTCACTGACTGCTCAATTTGAATGGCTGGGTATTTTTGTATTAAACCTACAATTTAAAATGTTGCCAGATGAACCATGCTGAATAACCAACAAGCTTGCAGCCTAACTATTAGATGATGCTTCCCAAAAGCTAAATTTAGGTCAAGTTCTCCTAGTCCTGATGCCATCTGAATGCAAACGGCAGCTGCCTGCCATTCGGGCAGAAGCACTCTGGTTGGGTGCCAGGCAGCAGAGCGGGGGGTGGAGAGCTCTCCTTTTGAACCCCACAGAACCTCATATGCACAGTCCTGAGTGGTTTGCTATTTAGCAGCCACAGTTGCACCGGCAACCATGTTTTCTGGAAAAGCAAAGCAGAACATGCTAATTGATCGGCGCAGTGTGCTGGCCCAAGCTACACACAATATCCCTTGTTTTGTAATCAAGGGTTCTCCAGAAAATGTAGGACAAGTTTACCCAAGGGCTTCAAAAACTTATGTCACAAGATGTTGGTCTTTCTTTCGCTTTTTTAAACTGTATTTAAAGTCCAGGATCAGTGGTGGGTTGCTCCTGGTTCGGCCCGGTTCAGGCAAGCCGGTAGTGGTGATGATGTGACGTCAGCAAACCAGTTCTCTATGACTGTGAGCTAGGCCCTCCCGCCCGCCCCCCCATGTTATACCTACTTTTATTTGTCGTTTTTTAGCCCAGCTGATAGGCGCAGCAGAGTGGATTGCTGTGCCTCAGCTGGGCAGAAATGTAATGTGCATGCGCGAAGAGAACCGGTGGTAACACCGGTTGGAACCCACCACTGCCCAGGATGCCCTAATATTACCTACAAACATGAATTGGGGCTTCATGAGTAGGAACAGAAATTATACTCTGTTTGTTTGTTTATGCCTTGAATTTTGAGGCCACATGGTTGATTTATGATATTTTAAGAACTACACAAGTAGCATCCCCCCAAATTCAACAGGGGCTCTGCAGACAGCCTGATCTCAGGCCTAGGAACAGAACCAGGTCCTAAGATGCTCCCAGAACGCTTGAAGAGTGGAAGCCATGGGTATCTCCATAGATATCGAGCAATCATTTGAGGCATATTGGTATCTCTTCACTGAAAACTCTATAGTAGACCAGAGGAAAATCCTAATAATCTGACCCTCTGCATTGTGCGGTCCATGGGAAGGCTTTTTTTTTTTTTATTATTGTTAAGGGAAAATTTGCTCCTCACAGCAGTTGCTATCAATAGGGCTGCATTTGGATCCTGAGCAAGTTTTATGCAAACAGAATAACCTGGTGAGTTTAATTTAGAGGTCAGTTGAAAAATAACCAGGATTGTGTACAGACAGAACCAGTGTTTTAGTTTAATCATAGTTTGAACAAGCTTCAACGGCTGAGTTTATACATCACACACTAAGAAATAAAGCATGATTTATAAACCATAATGGCTGGGTCCATCCATTGCATAAGCTATACCTCCACAAAAGTTCAAGTTCAAGTTCAAACTAATCATGCTTAGTATGTTATGTGAGTGCAGCTGCCAAATTTCTAATTAGAAACACTTTAACCGGGGGGTGTCAAACTCGCGGCCTGCAGTCTGGTTGCATCATGTGCTGATTATGCCCTCCCCCGGTTTAGGTTTACCGAAGGGGGAAAAAGTCACGATACGTCGCATGATGACAATGTGACATCATGAGTTTGATACCCCTGCTTTAACCAATTCAATTAAAATTTGGCAGCTGTACTCACACAATATACCAAGCATAGTTCGTTTTAACTTTGTTTGTGTGGTTTAACTCAATTTACAAACCCTACCTGTTTGGTTAATTTATGGTTCAATGTTTGTTGAAATATAGAAAGTCTGTGTAGAAATATAGGACTCTGTGCAAATACAGAGAAGCATGTCAATTTAATCACGGTATTATATGAGCACAGCACAGTAGGACAGGAAAAGAACTCAGAAGGCTGGGCTCACAAAAACAACAACAACACTCGACCTGGTAACTACAGCATGAGATTTCCATCATAGATTGGATCAGGTTTGCAAAAAATGTTAAACCACAAAAAACCAATTAAGCAAGCAACATGTAATAATAATGCAGCCAGCAATTCTGCCTTTTTACACTGATCCATGTGTAGGTAAGGTGCAACCATTGTGAATGGACTGGGTTTCCTACTGTAGGATGAATGCTACCAAACAGAATCCCTCTTGCAACTGAGTCTAAGCATTACAGGAAACAAGTGCTAAGGACTTACATCACTTCCATTGGCCAAAGCAAAGCCACCTCCAAGTAGCAGCACAATACCCCAGGGCAACTTCTTCTGAACAGTTTTCCAATCCAGCAACGGGGCTGGGAAAAATGGTTCCTTCATATCTGTAGAAAGAATTCAAATCCAGTTCAAATTCAAATTCAAATCTTTATTGTCAGTGGACAACATATGTACAATGAGATTGGTTGAGCTCCCTCAGTGCAACACCCCCCCCAACACAATACAACTCACAGATCCCTAACCCAATAAATCATATTAACAAAACACCCAGTCCTATTGCACCAGTGTAAAGAGCAGGATAAGCTAGATGTGTCGGAGGAGGTCTGGGGTCAGAGGAGGAAATACTTTATTGCCAATATCAACTCTTTCTTTCCAAGAAAGTAGATGCAAGGCTTAATGCCATTGTGAGGAATGCATGTTTTGTCTACACTGCACTGTTGAACTAGTCTGGAGAATGGTATCCATTTGTTCATGTTTCTGGGACACCTCTGATACAATCAGAACATTCCCCAACAGCAACACTTATAGATGCCTAGTCAACAAGGAGCAGCTATTTTACATTTCACTCTCAGCCTTTTGATCTAAAACTAATCCTGCCTTACCCACCTCCACTCCTTCTGATTGGGTTTTTATTTAGTCATAATATACTTGTGACAGTAGGGAATATGCATATTTCAAAAATTCTTTGGAAGAAATGCTTTGCACACAAGCAAGTACCACACCTCTCTTCTATGCATTAAAATGGCCTTTTTTTCCCCTTCAGCCTGCCTTATAAGTTCTGAAGCACTTCTGAGAAATTTTTGAAGCCTCCTCAACCTTGTTGAGTCCCCGCATGACTCATGTTTCCGTGTGTACAGGATCGTTCCATGCAATGTGACAACATGGAGCATCACACAGTAGCCTAGGTCTCAAAAAGCATTCTGATTTCATCCCTTGAAGTGCAACCTCCTTCCTGCCCTGCTTCTTGGGAAGAAACTGCTCTTCTGTAGTTCAAAGGTGGAAGATAAGCTTCCTGAAAGTTTCCAGGACTGAAGGAGGAAAGTGTGGTTCTCATCACTTTTACCTTCCTCAGCCTCTTCCAGATCACAGCTGTTCTTGCTGCAGAAACCACATCTGGGCTTCGTGGAAGGAAGAATGAAGAGCAGCAGGGCCACAAAAACGGCCACGGTGGCGTCAGTTACATACCTGGAATGAATTTTAGATAAAGATAAAGGAGAACTGAGGACTGAGGCCCATCTCATTTTTTTTCAGCCCCTGAAGCCACCAATCAACCAGTGGGAAAGGTTCGTCCTTCCTGAGCCCAGCTACTAAACATCTTGAAGTGCACACAAGTCACTCTGTATGAGGGGAATCAAGATCGCCATCTCTCAGCCCTCAATCCAGTGGTGAAATCCAAATTTTTTTACTACCGGTTCTGTGGGTGTGGCTTGGTGGGTGTGGTGTGGCTTGGTAGGCGTGGCAGGGGAAGGATACTGCAAAATCTCCATTCCCACCCCACTCCAGGGGAAGGATATTGTAAAATCTCCATTCCCACCCCACTCTGGGGCCAGCCAGAGGTGGTATTTGCCAGTTCTCTGAACTGCTCAAAATTTCCATCACCAGTTCTCCAGAACCTGTCAGAACCTGCTGGATTTCACCCCTGTCTCAATCTCTCCTGGAGAGTATGTGTAATATGCAGGGGTGAAATGCTCCCGGTTCGGACCGGATCGCCCAATCCAGTGGCGATGGCAGTGGGTGGTTTGGAGAACCGGTAGCAAAAATCCCTCCCCACCCCCTATGCCCAGCTGAGCCACACGATCATCAGAGGCTTTTTCTTTTTTTTTTTTACTTTTAAAAGCATTTTTTTTTGACAACCTCTTCAGCCAAAGAGGTTGTAGAAAAAATGCTTTTAAAAGTTAAAAAAAAAAAAGTTGGCCACGCCCACACAGTCACATTACCCCCCACCAAGCCACGTCCACAGAACCTGTAGTAACAAATTTTACATTTCACCACTGGTATAACGCTTTGTTTGGTAGCAATTTAGCAAATCAATAAGATCTCCCTCAGCTTTGCCTCAATTAACCTCATGTCTGTGTTTCAACTTCTTTGAAAGATAAACAACTTCCAGATCAATTGTATGACTGACTCGGGTCAATATTTGTCATGAGTCTGATCTTATTTCCTGACCTCTCTCCCAATAGGTTAGGATGATGTTCACTGGATTATCCCATAAACATCCTGCAGAGAGAGGCAGGGTTTGCCCAAGCTGTTTACTCACAGCTAAGCAGAGATCTGAACTCAGTACGGGATGACAGAATGTCACATGCTAATCATTGTACTATGAAGCCTCAGTTGCAGCAAACCTGCCTACAAATTCTCTGCTTTCCCTCCATCTGGAGTGGATGGTGCTAATTTACATTTATGTCTTCAACTTATGCCAGAGCAGCAGTGCTCTGCCGATTCACTGTCAATCATAAGCTGTGTGCCATCCGGGAAGATACCCAAAGCTCTCTCAAGGTAGACTCCGTCTTTGCAAAGCAATTATAATATCCACTCACTCTTTGTCTTTATTGAAGAGAAAAGTTGCCCAGCCTGGGATGAAGCCTGGATCTCGGGTGAACCAAAGGAGAATCAGCAGTGTGAAAACCATGAGGATATTAATTTCAGCAAAGGAGATGGGCCCCAACTTTCGGTACTCCTCCTTCAACACGTTAAAAGCAGCCTTCTCTTTCTCAGTCTTTTGGCTTCCACAGCCCCAGGTTTTCCGAAAGCTGAAAGCAGAAGTGAATGGTCAAGCTAGCTGGCCAGGATTTTCTTGCCAAGTGGGATAGAGGAGAGATTGAACAGTTGTCAGCATTCTCTGACGCTAAACTATGTACTTTACATGGGCTGCCTTTGAAGATCACTCAGAACCTTCAGCTGGCCAGCCCAAGAGCTGCCATAAGCATCTTATAGTGGTGCTGCAGGCTTTACACTGGCTCCCTATTGGTTTCAAGATGCAATTCAGAATGCATCAGAATTTCTTTATTAGGGATTATACCAGAAATATATAATAGAGAATTGAGATATTTGATTGTGAATGTTTTTAACAGCTGCTAGAATTGTGTTTGCTAAAAACTGGAAAAATGAGAAAATACCAACTCAAGATGAAATTATTAAGAAAATTATGGAACGTGCTGAAATGAGTAAATTGACATTTGAAATTAGAGAACAAGAAGATAAACAATACTACAAGATATGGGATTTATTTTATCATTGGTTAGATAATAAAACATGGAAATGAAATATGAAATATGAAATGAATGTTATAAATATAGTATCTGAAAATAATTTTTTTAAAGCAACAATGCAATAGTTAAATAAATGATAAATGAGGATGTTGATTTGTTTGACAATATGAGAAACTAGATAATTAGTAAATTTTGAATAGGGGGATGAAGCACAAAAGATTTGTAACCGACTGACACACTGTTTGTATTTGTAATAGATGATGGATTTGTTTTATGTTTTTTTTAATTAATTTTTTTATTATATTTTTATTGTTAAAGAATAACAGAAAAAGGAAAAAACAATTAAAAAAACATTTTCAAAAAAAAAAAGATGCAATTGGCTCCAAGGTAAACTACAGGGCCATCTCATTCAACCAAAACTGACCCACTGATTCCTACATCTGAGGAGAAGCTGCCTGTGGTTCTTTATTACAGGTAACCCTCCGCTTACAAACAGTTCATTTAGTGACCGTTCAAAGTAACAATGGCACTGAAAAAAGTGACTTGCTACTATTTTTTCACACTTACGACTATTGCAGCATCCCCATGATCATGGGATCAAAATCCAGATGCTTAGCAATGACTCACAATTATTATGATTGCAGGGCCCCAGGATCACTTTTTTGCGGCCTTCTTGACGAAGAAAGCCAATGGGGGAAACCAAGATTCACTTAACAACTGTGTTTTATTAACAGCTGCAGTGATTCACTTTACAACTGTGGCAAAAAAGGTCGTAAAATGGGGCAAAATTCGCTTAGCAAATGTCTTAGAAATTTTGGTTGTAATTTGAGAACTACCTGTACTGCAAGATAAAGGGAGTTGAGATGCACATGTCTTTTATTTTTAAGGGGCTGGTTTCTATGTTGTCAGATTGCCTCCCGCTAGACCAGGGGTCTCCAACCTTGGCAACTTTAAGACTTGTGGACTTCAAAGCTGGCTGAGGAACTCTGGGAGTTGAAGTCCACAAGTCTTAAAGTTGCCAAGGTTGAAGACCCTTGGTCTAGACCTTAGACTTACCCCCTCATTCCTAGCCTTCCAGAAGCTATTAAAAACCAAACTGTCCTGGACAATGAATGGTGATTAAGAGAACACCAATGATTGATTAATGGATTGTTACATTGGCTTAATCTTAGTTTATGTATTTAGTATGGCCATTTTTTATTTCCTTGTGGTGCACCTCTGAGAGTTCTACATGCAGTGGGTAGAAATGGAATAACATAAACAAAGGAACTGAGCAACGTTGATAAGAAAGGACCAATGTGGACAAGAAATGACAAGCCAACAGAGGTAAGGTGTGTTGGGTCACGTGTTCATACTGAGTGATTTCAATCAGAACAGGGAAAGAGGTGAACAAGAGGGAAAGGAGACACAGCCAGAAAAGTGCAGGCCACGAGAACAGGGAGCAGCCAGAATACAACAAGGAAAGAATGGAGAGGAAAAGTGAACATATGGAGAAGGGAATAAGATGGTCTGGGAAAGTAGCTATGCATGGTGGGAATTACCACTGCAATTTGGGAGGCCTCAAGGGAGGTCAAAACCCAATCTAGAAGCAAAGGAGATAGCTTGCCATAAACCAACAGGGATTCCATTCAGTTCACGGATCTTGGGCAGTGGTGGGTTGCCTCCGGGTCACACCGGTTCTATAGAACCGGTAGTAAAAGCGGCGGGAGGCTTCTGGGCATGTGCAGAAGAGCGTGCGCGGCCCCGTTGCGAACCGGTAGTAAAGGTAAGTAGAACCCACCCCTGATCTTGGGCTACATTCATATAACTGGGTTAATCTCATTACATAATTAACTGATTTGTAGATTTACACCACACACTAAGCCACTAATAACTTTTAAAAACTTTTATTAAAACTAACCAACAATAGTATGTTGTGCGAATGTGATTGCTAGATATTTAACTGATTTGTGTACATTGTGCAAACGTACCTGAGCCCCACACTCACACACATACTGTCCCTTGTTCAGAGGAAAGGACAATTGGGAAAAATGAAGCATGACCAGATCCATTTGGCCCTAAATTTTCCCCCAAAGCTGTATCTAGCTGTACTAGATACAAAGCTGTATCTAGTCCCAGAGTCCTTGGAGAGTTGGGCGGCATAGAAATACGATAAATAAATAAATAAATAAATAAATAAATAAATAAATAAATAAATAATGCTTAACTTGTCAACACATTGTCCCAAAGGTACTTTTTTCAAAATGTTTCGTTTTTCACCCAAGCAAATCATTTTCAAAGGAAAAAAACAAAACAAGAAAGTCCAGTTGCCTTATGGAAAAAGCACCTTTGGGACAATCATGAGCTGAATGATTGAGAATCTCCATAGACATTTGTCAACACATTATTCATTCATTCGCCCAAAAACTTACTTAAATCCTATAAAGGAAAACTGAAGCCAAAACCAGGCCAGTACCAGCATCAATAACATATTGGGAAAAGCAAATCCAAACCAGGAAGCGAAATTCACGACGTCATCATTTCTGGGAAACAATCTGTTTGCAAAAGGAAAAAAGAAAAAAGATGAGATTGCGCCCTGATCTAGTGGCCTATGGCACACTGAAGGTAGATTGGGATGGGTGACAGTCAACTCCGGGAAGCCCACATAATTTGGGGTGCTAGCCACGAAAAGGATTGTGTCCTCTTTCACAAAAGGGAATCCAATGGGCAAGATCTGGGTGAAAATACATTTCTCGGTGACAGTTGACAATTACAAGGAACATAACCTCAGTTGGGATCCCAGGAGGAACGAATGAGTCCTCAAGATAAGGAAAACCACTTCCCACTCTGGTTTTAAAAATTGTATGTCATTAGGGCACTTACTGATTCATCTGACCTTTCAGGACCAAGTTAGGACCTGTCCCTGTAAGGGTGGCTGTCCCGCCAATGCTTGCTGCGTAACACACACATAGGGTCATTCCCTTGTTAGTGCGCTTCTTTGCTATCCTGTCTTGCTCTTGAGAATCATCAGGAAGGTAGCCATTGCCTACAGATGGAGAAAAATAAGCTACTGCTTGGCCTACTACAAATCACCCTTGTGATGAGAAGAAACAGCAGGGCACAAAATTAACAGCAGAAGAACACTTTTCAATTATGCTCCCAATACTTGCTCTCAAAGTTCAAAGCTTATTCATTATCTGTCCTAAACATCTTATATCTGGAAATGTATTCTCTCTGAACACGGAGCTTTCATTATGCATGACTGATAGCTTTTAGCAGTCTATGGAGTATACAGGTGGGTGGGTGTTTAGCCATCTACATTAACAGGCATGATTATATCTTCTGCCAGCAAACAATTTGCTTTAGATTTCATCAGTGAGAACTGTTCCCAGGCAATTGTTCTTTCCAGGCTGAGAACTGGCTGGTTGAACAGAAAGATTTAAAATATAATATTTCAGATTTTAATTGGATTCGTCGGTTTTGTCACAAAAATTCCAACATACTTGGTATGTTAATCCACAGGGACTCAATTTACACATCGCAATAAGCCATACTGTGGCATGTTACAGGCGCATAATTTGTGCCTGTAGTTTACCAACTTTGGTTTACTCATTTATTGAATTTCTGTACTGTATCGCCCAATCTTGTGATATAATGTGTGAATTGAATCGGGGCCTATTTAGGCAAGCATAGTTAGCAGAATCATGGCTTAGCATGGTGTATCACTCTAAGGAAAGAAGGTTGTAGGGTCTGTAATATTTGAGATCAATTTGTCCTCTCCTGGCTGAAATGGTGGCTGATAGCTTGGAACCTCTCCAGTGTCTAGGTGGCAGTCTCCTTATCTTTGATTGCTTTATTATTGCATTAGTAAGCAGAAAATACCTTTTGTTTATCTCCATTTATGTGATTGTTCTATAGTGATAAATTATGGGTCCAAAGGCAAAAAGATAGAGAAATTGAACTAAACACCACCTTCAATTTCAGAGGGAAAAGAAAACCTTCACAGAATTGAGGGGTAAAGGAGCGCAGAGATGAGCTTGCAGCAACTGTTACTAAAACATGGGCATAGTCTGGGACAACAGGAAAGTATGAAAAAGAAAGATTGCCCTGTCTTGACTCTCTTTGATATGAGAGTAATGTTTCTCAACTTTGGCAACTTTAAGCTATGTGGACTTCAAGTCCCAGAATACCTCAGCCAGCCATGTATAGAGGGTGGGAAGGAGAAACACTGTTGAGCTTTCAAAATTCTGTTATTACAAACTATATTAATAAAGCAGAGTTCTAGTATTTCTTCCACCCCAAAGGGCAGACATGAAGTTGTTTAAAAAGCCAATTGTTGGGATTGCTCTTTATGCTCAGAGTTGATGAGTTCCAAGACTGAGTGGCTGTGGTTTCCGGCGTCCCGGTATAGCCAGCTGGCTCCCTCGCTGACTATTGGGGGCGAGATCTTGGCCCTCTCAGAGAGGGCTCACAACTTGGGTGTTCTCCTGGATGCACGGCTGTCTTTAGAAAATCATATGACGGCTGTGGCCAGGGGAGCTTTTTATCAGGTTTGCCTGATCCACCAGTTGCGTCCCTTTCTGGACTGGGATGCCTTGCGCACAGTCACTCATGCCCTTGTCACGTCACATCTGGACTACTGTAACGCTCTCTACATGGGCTCCCCTTGAAGAGCACTCGGAGGCTCCAACTGGTCCAGAATGTGGCCGCGCGGGTGATTATGGGGGCGACTTGTCGCACCCATGTAACATCTCTCCTGCACGAGCTGCACTGGCTCCCGGTGGTCTTCCGGGTGCGATTCAAGGTGTTGGTTACCACCTTTAAAGCGCTCCATGGCTTAGGACCTGGGTATGTACGAGATCAGCTTCTGCCACCGATAGCCTCCCACTGGCCAATACACTCCCACAGAGAGGGACTCCTCAGGGTGCCGTCGGCCAAACAATGTCGACTGGCGACACCCAGAGGGAGAGCCTTCTCTATGGGGACACCTGCCCTCTCGAATGAACTGCCCCCGGAGATTTGCATGATCCCCAACCTACGTACCTTTCGCCGTGCCCTTAAGACTCTTTTGTTCCAACAGGCCGGGCTGTCTTACAAAATGAATTTTAATTGGGTGTTTGTAGTTTTTAATATAAGGGCCAAATTTTTAATATATTTTAAACTGTTTTTAAATTTTGTGGGTATATGTTATTTTATTATGGCTGTACACCGCCTTGAGTCCTTCAGGAGAAGGGCGGTATAAAAATTTAATAAATAATAATAATAATAATAAGTTTTTTAGAATAACTGAATTTATTTATGCAAGTCAAGATTTCAAAGTTCAGTAACTTGGACATGAGATAAAGACTCATACAGGAACATGGCAGAGTTTAAAGCTTTAGTTATTAAATCACATGAAAAATGTATTCAAAAATCCTGGGAAACAACAGGTCATAGATGTTGAAACAATGTTGAAATGAAATAAAGATATTCAAGATTAGACTCTGTGATTAGATTTTTCAGATCCACAATATGGGCCTATATTCTGCACTTATCTCAGTAAGAAGGATCTTTGGCATGAAATGCTAATAAAATCATGTTTTTTCCTATCTGTCTCGAGGTAATTCACAAGAACAAGTTGTTGAATGGTGGGTTTTTTTAGCAGCAAGACCCAAAGTACCGTAATTAAACCACTTTTCTTTTCATTTTCCAGGATAGTCTGTTTAACCTTGTGTTCTGAGATGATGACATGTTTAAAATAAATTTTATTAAAAGTTTTACAAATAACATAAGAACACAAACTAATACAGAGTAAAGAAGCAAAGGAAGGAAGGAAAAAAGCAAAAGTGCAGAAAAAAGGAGTAAAAAGAAGATTCGGCTGTCTATTGTCGCAAATATAATTACAAAATTATCTCTTAGTCCATGATTACAGTATTAAAAAAAGGCTCAATTTCCTCCTCCACCCCCCACCCCATTATCCAGGCTTTCTGTTCTGATCATCAAAACTACAAGTCTAAGTGCATTTTTTATATTTCATGTAAAAAGTCTATAAGGGATTTCCTGTCAGCCATAAATATAGATACTGTCTATTGTCTGATCGAAGAAGTTAATTTAGCCTTCTGCACAAGTTCCATTATCTTCAGCATCCATTTCTCTATTGTGGGTAATGTCAAACCTTTCTGGGATGGTGCAATTATTTGATCAGCAGACAGCAGTTAATTTATTGGGTTAGGATGAGCTGAAATGAACTAGCACCTGTGTGTGAGGGGTAAGTTATGTATACATTTCTGAGCTCCGTTTCCTTTCAGTTCAGGTGGAATAAGACCCTCTGCTATCCTTGCTGGGATTATGGTACAGAACACGTTAATTCTTTGAGAAAGACAATCTTGAAAATACAAGGGTGCTGAGCCTTGTAGGGCTTTGTAAATTAAAACCAGAAATTGAAATTTGGCTTGGAAACCTGTTATAGGGAATGCAATGTCAGTGCAATACCATTCCTCCCATTAGTTGTTAGATACTGCATTTTTAATCAACTGCAACTTCTGAGTTGTTTTCAAAGTCACCCCTATGTAAACATGTTGCAGTAGTCTAAACAGGCGATAAGGGCGTCAGAGTTACAACACTTCCATTCATTAATGAGATGGTCTAATAATTGTATTGCATTCATTAATGTCTACAGCAGGGGTCGGCAACCTGCGGCTCTGGAGCCGCATGTGGCTCCTTCATCCTGTACCTGTACCTGTACATGACAATTTTTAAATCCTTCATAACAAGAATATTCTTTGGCTGAGGGGACTTTGGATCCACCCTATACCAATTCCACCGTTTAATCATTACACTGTACTGATATTTATATGTTCTGCTACTATTATTATACATGCCTCCTTGAATTTTTTTTAAAAAAATGAACATTTGGATAATGGTTAAAGAAACTTTGAATATATAAGTGCAAGACAACCTACAGCAAAAGTACACAAAGTTTTTACGTTAGCCAAATTGAAATTCAATTCTCTTTCTGGAGCCAAAATTGTACTGAATTGCACCAGTGATATTGGGAGTGCCCTGATAAAATTATTGGCTTGTTAATTGAAACAGAAACTTTAAAATAATTTACTCTGCTAAGTATGTGAAGAGCAAATGACATAACGACTCTAACAAATCAGCAAGTTTTGTATTATTACTATTTACACTTGACCTTATAATACTGAGTTAAAGGTTAACCAGGGCAGAGATTAATTGCTTCTTGAATAATGTTGTTCTTCCAGAGATCACACATAATTAGGCTGTTATTTAGCTACACATTTACTTCTTCAAGAAATAATAACTACTATTAAATCTATAACAAAAAAAAACATGCTGGAGGTGATGCTTACTTTAATGAATTGTCCTGAAATTTGTTCCCACTCTATATTGTTGGTGGTTTATAACAGTCTTTTTTTAAAAAAAAAAAACTTTTTTTCAATTTATTTTAATGAGAATAAATAATTTTGAAAGCTGGTAAAGAATCTACTGGGCTACATATCTACTGATTATACACATGATTATCTAATTCTTAGTTAAGTGCAGATGCTAAAATTTTGATTCTTGCATATAGATTACAAATGAGATTATCTTTGTTTAGTTACCCATCTACAATCCGGTTTTATGAAAGGGCAACAAGCCTAATAGTTGAGTATTAACTGATTATTAATTATGCACTTTCACAAAAATTGGAATTGGCAATAGAATTTCATTGGCAATGGAAAAGGGTTTTTTGCAGTGGTGGGTTGCTACAGGTTCGCCCTAGATTGGGCGAACTGGTAGAAGTGGCAGCAGGAGGCTCCGCCCACCTGCCCGGACGTCTTTGCATATGTGCAGAAGCGTCATGCATGTGCATGAGCGTGCATCCACGAGCACACCAGTACCGACAGGATTTGAATCCTATTACTGATCTTTTGATATCATGAAGCTGAAATTTATTGACACAAGTTTTAGTCAAAATAATTGGATGAAAATGTAATTGTGCAATTCTTCAGTCAGACTGATACAAACGGAATTATCACCTCAACTACCATGAAGTTGATTAAGGTTTTCTTTATTTTCTGTTATATTTAATTTAATATTGGAACTATTATGCCTGTCTTGTTAAGGGCATAAAAGCAACTAAATACATAGTTACTATATGTTGATAGATTATTTCTATTGATCAATAAGAATGTTTTTGCCAAAATGTGTTGGTATAATACAAAAGTTTAATTTTCAGGCTACTCAGTTACGGTAATTGAACCATTTCATATACATCTTACTGGTTCTAACGTGTCTAGAGATATTTCTAAAAAAGTGAGTTTTACTTGTATGAATTATTTTAAATAAGAGATTAAAATTTTTTATTTGTAAATGTAAATATTTTATATTATATACAACATAAAAATTACTGTAATTATGCCTAGTCCAAATGTGTTAGTGACATCAAAAGTTCTTAATTATGAGTAATGAAGTGCTTTGGATTATTCCAGACCTATGGGGTTTTCTTTAATGGATAATTAAAGAACACATTTAGGGCACTATTAATTATTTGCAAAAACTCTTGAATAATCAATAGCTAAAAGTCTGAAAAACTATTAAGTAGGTTTCTTATAATCTTATGATGAGATTCATTCAACAAAAGGTATTTTCATGTTTATTGGATAATGTTTAAAAATTGAAGAATGTTTAAAAAGAGTAGATTGTCAATATGTTTTTTTTTTTAATTTGATTTATATGCCGCCTTTCTCCGGAGACTCAGGGCGGCTTACAATGCGTTAAGCAAAAGCCTTCATACTTTTGTATATTTATACAAAGTCAGCTTATTGCCCCCACACACTGGGTCCTCATTTCACCTACCTTAGAAAGGATGGAAGGCTGAGTCAACCTTGAGCCTTGGAGAGATTCGAACCAGCAGTAAATTGCAGGCAGCTGTGTTAATAACAGGATGCGTAGACCACTGTACTATCAAGGCTCTTATATGTTAAAAATATAACATAATGGAGTGGACTAACATATTATATATGATATCAGCTTGTCTGACAACTATTCTATTTTCCCGAACGCCATCACTCTGCTAAACAAATAATTCCCTCAACACTGTCAAACTATTTACTAAGTCTGCACTACTATTAATCTTCTCATCGTTCCCACCACCCATCTCCTTCCACTTATGACTGTATGACTGTAACTTTGTTGCTTGTATCCTTACGATTTATATTGACTTTTTCCTAATATGATTTGATTGCTTATTTGTACCCTATGACTATCATTAAGTGTTGTACCTTATGATTCTTGACGAACGTATCTTTTCTTTTATGTACACTGAGAGCATATGCAACAAGACAAATTCTTTGTGTGTCCAATCACACTTGGCCAATACTATTCTATTCTATTCTATTCTATTCTATTCTATTCTATTCTATTCTATTCTATTCTATTCATCTACAAGTCTGAATATGGTTGTGGGAACAATAATATGTTTTAAAGATATGGATGTGATCTTCAAGTATGTGTTGAATTAGTGCAGGGGTGTCAAACTCAAAGCCCGGAGGCCGGATCTGGCCCCCGGGGCACTTAGATCTGACCTGTGGGGCCGCCCTAGAAACAGCGAAGGAACCGGCCTGCAGTACTTCTGCCAGTAAAAACGGAGCTCAGGAGGGCGGCCCTCCCGAGCTCCGTTTTCACTGGCAGAGGGTTGCAGAAGGCCATGGCAGCCAAAAATGGAGTTTAGGAGCCCATTTTCGCTAACAGAGTGCTCAGGCCACCACAGGCACCCCCGACACGAGTATCATTGAGCTGGTTATGCCCACCCTGGCCACGCCCACCCCGGCTCCCTGAGGTCAAACACAACCCTGATGCAGCCCTCAATGAAATCGAGTTTGACACCCCTGAAGTAGTGTAATCTATCAATATATGAAGAATTCTAGTTTTAACAAGAGTAGGATATGGGAAAAATATGGAAAAATGTGCATCCTGTGATTTAATTATTTGCATTTGCTTTCTATTTGTGAATCTTTTAATAAAATCTTCGATTAATATTACTATATGTCATCAAGATGTAATGCTATATTTAAAAATTATTTCCTATAATATATGGTTTCTTTGTTCTTGTTCTTTTTTCTCTAGTTTCAGATTACTCATCTTTCTTTTCTTATTATATTTCTGGATTTCCTACTTATTTCCATATATAATGCACTCATGTAACCAACTAAAGATAAAAAGGGGCTTCAAAGAGCAGGAAGTACAAAAAGTACACACCACAAAATACTTTGTTGTCCTTAGTAGCTTCTGGGCACTACTTATGTCAGCCAACTGATAATTCTATTTATCTTTAAGAGAACATGAGATTCTCATTTACTCTCATCCATGTCATAACTGGGTCATTGCACTTTCCCCTATTTAGTTCATGTAGCATTTTTGCAGCTTAACTCAATAGCTGGGAAGCTGCCAAGGATGTAAATCCCAAATGAATTTCAGAAACTCCATTTTCTTCTATCTGCTGGGGAAGGAATCCACTCACCTTGCACTGAGGAGACTCCCGTGGCCACCTTCCCTTCCATTTCAATAGCATTGTTGACGTGTCCAGTTGATTCCATGACTCTCAGGTCATACTCTGAATTGTTCATCTGCTCTAGAACAGCCTGGATGATGGGAACCATCATAGCAGTGGTTGCTGTGTTGCTGATCCACATGGACAGGAAAGCCGTAACTCCCATAAATCCCAACATCAGGCTGAAAAGAGACACAGTGAGGGGGAAAGGATCATAAGCCACAGTGGCACAGTGGTTAGAGTGCAGTACTGCAGGCTATTTCTGCTGACTGCCGGCTGCCTGCAATTTGGCAGTTCAAATCTCACCAGGCTCAAAGTTTACTCAGCCTTCCATCCTTCCGAGGTGGGTAAAATGAAGACCCAGATTGTTGGGGACACTAGGCTGACTCTGTAAACCGCTTAGAGAGGGCTGTAAAAAGCACTATAAAGCGGTATATAAGTATAAGTGCTATTGCTATATGTTAGAAGCACTATATCTGTATTTAAGCCTCCATGCCACCATCTGGTGGTGATCTGGGTTTTTGCTGCCCAGATCTGGAGCCTCTGTTAGCTCAATGATCTGTTGAATGAGGATTAACTCCTTGGGATCAGACTGAAAACCTATGGATTTCCCCCTTGCTCTTGTACAACCAGCACCTGCATATTCAGGAGGGGAGTCATGCATGTGTCATTTTTGCATAATAGCCTTAATCTCCCACACACATTTAATCCAGCCTGGCCTAACTTTGGGAAAAGGGAGAGAAGAGTTACTACTTACAGTGCAGGCTTCACTCCAACAATTAGCAACACCCTGAGTGCAATCCGCTTGTGCAGGTTCCAATGCTCTACAGCCACAGCCACAATCAGGCCCCCAATAAAGAGCATATTGGTGTCCTTTAGGTACTGCATGCATACCTGAGAGGGACAGAGGATGGCAAATGTAGCATTCTCCCGGCCAATGAGCATTTGGACACATGCAGAATGCTTGTCCCTTAGCAGTAAGAGTACAGCTTGCCTCTTAGAGTTAGAAGGAAGGAAGCTTTAATACAGAAAAAAGGAACCAAATCTGCTTTTTCCAAAAGGTAACTGGACTTTCAAACGTTTTGCTTCTTAGCCAAGAAACTTCTTCCTTCTTCAGAACGGCTCAGAACTGAAGAAACGTCTTGGATGAGAAGTGAAACATTTTAAAGAAAACACTGAGAGTCCAGTTGTCTTTTTTTCTGGAGGGGGCGGGGGAATGTCTTTGGGACAACCATGACCTGGATGGTTGAGAATCTCCATAGACAACTGGAAGCCAACACTATAGGAATCTATGTTACAAAACTAGTCCAGGCACCCTCTGCTCCTGTTTTTTCCTATTCACTTCTAACTGAATAGGACACCTGTGTTTGTACAAACTAGACCGGATTAAAATAAGGCTGAATATTCTTGTTTCAGCATATAGTTTGGAACCCCAGACCTCATCCTAGTATACTGTGTGAATCAGTCCACCTTTTTAAGTGATGATGATTTACTGATTTGAGAATAACGTATTGCTTGAACATAATAAACAGCTGGACATAGGGGTTGTGTTCTGTTAATCCACATTTAGGGTTTAGTATCTTACGTGAACACAGTCAATGTTTCTCAGCTTCTTTCCGCTGGATGAGGATTATGGGATTTTGTTTATCTAAATTCAGTTTGTGATTTCATCGGGAAAGTAAAAACTAAAACTCTATGATGAAAAGGGTTTTGCCATCATTGCTTTTGCTCCTACCTTTTTTGATTCCAGGATGCCAAACAATGGGAATAAAACGACTGGCAAGAGAGATGTAACAGCCAAAGGAATCACCTCTGTGCACCAGTACACAGCCATGAGAATGATCACATAGCCACATCTGGCCTCCTGCAAACAAGGAAGCACACATTCAGACACACAGAGGCAGACATAAATATCTATAGCATTTTAAACTCTGGATCACAAGTTATGATATAAGAGTGCCTAGGACAGTGATGCCTAAACTTTTCCGGACCGAGTGCCCAAAGTGTGCATGCAGATGCACGGTTGCGCACCTGAAACCCCAAAATGCAAAGCATGTGCGGCCCCTGCGCACATGGCCTGCCCGCTTGTGCATGCACACATGGCTCCTCGCATGCGTGCACGCCCCCCATACATGCCCCCCCATGCATGCACACACAGCCTCCAGATGCGCCTTGCCCCCCGCACATGCACGGCAGAGAACCGAAGACCAGCTGGCTAGTGGGGGCTGAATTTGGGCAATGGCTCTCGTGCTCACAGAGAGGACACTGCGTGACACCTCTGGCACGCGTGCCATAGGTTTGCCATCATGGGCCTAGGACCATGATAGCTAACCTTTTTGCCATCGTGTGCCAGGAGCAGGGAGGGTGGGGGGTTGCGTGCACATGTGTCCACACCCATAATTCTATGCGCCCTGCCCCCCCCACTCCTGGCACACGATGGGCCGGTGGGCCCGGTAGGCCTGTTTTTTGCTCTTCCCCAGCCTCCAGAGCCTTTCTAGGAGCCAGGGGAGGGCAAAAACGGCCTTCCCCACACATACTCCTGGAGGCCGGAAACAGCATGTTTCCCTACTTCCAGTGGGTCCAGAAGGCCTGAAAATTAGCTGGGTGGCGCAAGCATGCGCATTGGAGCTCAGTTCGCATGCCTACCGATATGGCTCCGTGTGCCACCTGTGGCATGTGTGCCATAGGTTCACCATCACAGGCCTAGGATATATTCTAGGATGCAAAAAGTGCAGCCTGTGGCATATAACTCATCAGCACAACATTCCTGATTCACAACTCATTTTTCAGCCTTTGTTCATTTCTGCTCATGACATGATGCATAAAACCTGGTTTGCTTTCAAGGGAAAAGATATTGGACATTCCTGCCCTAAAGAAAGAGGGGTGTGTGTGTGTGTGAGAGAGAGGGGGGGCAGGGGGACTGACTGACTGACTGACTGACTTACTTACTTACTTACTTACTTACTTTTGGGACGCTATTCTAGTAGCTCTAATTTCTCACACTAGGATACTGCCCTTAAAGATTATTAGAAATGTTTCTCAATCTTGGCAATTTGAATATGTCTGGACTTCAACTCTCAGAAGGAAATCTGGCCACGGAATTCTGGGAATTGAAATCCATACATCTACACATTACCAACGTTGTGATGCGATACTAGAAGCAAATAAAGCAATCTGTCACTTTTCAGGAGCCACAAGCAGCCCTGATTTCCTCATCTATCAGGAACGGAACTGATTATTCCTCTGGAAATTTCGTCAGCCACTTTTGGTGCACGGAGAGGAGAGATTCCCCCACCATCACAAGTCCCTGCCTGTAATCAGAACGAAGATGCTAAATCACAATTTAAGTGCCCACAACTCAGGTAATGTTGCATACACATGCCGAACTGCTGATGAGAGAGTAAACTAGTCTGGAATTTGTGAAGTCAATTTTCTTGTGGGAAGACTAATTGAGTGGCCATAATTAGTGCTTAAAAGCTCTTGGGTGCAAATGCTTCATACTTGTTAATTTGCCTGTGCCCAAAATGACTATATATAAAGCCTTACTTGAGGGCAACAAGTGGATTCATGCCCTGCCAGACTTGCAAGTTTCTCTCTGGACTAAACAAGTGATTTTCACCCATGCAGTAGAATTTTATATTAACCTTATCATGCCTAATGAGAGGAAAGATTTATTGGGTAAAAACCACAAACAGCCTTAAAGTACCTTAAAGATAACTAATGTAATTTGCCTTTAAGGTAATAAGACATTTGTTACAGACTAACACCCCTAATGTTTGTCTAGAAATTACTATGTAATATTTGTCTTGGGGGGGAGGATTTGGTATTTTTGCATGTGCAAAACAGGCTTCCATAATTTTGCCACTAAAGCAAAAAGTAGATATTAACTATGACCCTTCTGTTCAGCAATATTTTGTCTGCAGCATAGACAAGCAACCATATGTCCTTCAGGTATTTTGACTTTAAAATTCCCCAGCCAACCTGACCCATGGCAAAGGGATGTGAGCTTCCACAAATATTTGGTAGGTACCAGACTGATTACCTATATTTCCGGATTCTCTTAGACTTAGACCGATGTAGATCCAAGGATCCATGGTTAATCAGATTTAAGGTCTGTATATTCTGCATATTTTCAACCATTGTACAATGTCAACTGAAAATGTCAAGTGATGCTCAAGATTTCTTTGCAAAATGTTTCCAGATCTTATCTATACTTCACTACCTAGAACAGTGCTTCCCAAACTTAAGTAAATTACCCAAAATTAGGTAAAAGTGTATTTTCTTTGAATAATGACACACGGACCCATTACCCAATCACAACAAGGACATTTAAATAAGACTTTCTGATAAGCCGTAAAACAGGACTTTCTGATAAGTGGTTTTGTGTAATGAAGGAAAAAGTTTGGGAAGTGCTGACTTAGAGAATTATTCGGTTAACAGCTTCCTCTGCGTGTACCGGAGAAGAGTACACTAAGATCTGTGTGCACACTCAGAAGATCTCTGTGTATCACAATCCCTTGAACCGACTCACCTTTAGAAGAAACAGTCTCCTTACTTATTTAGAGCAAATAATTAATTCAGAGGACAAAGAGACAAGGAAGGCTTAGAAATTAACAAGCCGATGTTGAGAAAAAATTAAGGAAGAAAAACATTCGTGTCTTGCGAAAAAAAATTCATGGCTGTAACTTGAGTGAGAAAACGCAGAACAATTGGTGATTGGCCCCCTGCTTTCTGCAGCAACACCGAGCAGTAGTTACTAAGGAGACAAGCATAGCCCAATACAGAATTCAGGTAGTCCTCGACTTACAACACTTCGTTTAATGACTATTCAAAGTTACAACAGCCCTGGAAAAAGTGACTTATGACTGTTTTTCACAGTGAAGACCTTTGAAGCATCCCCATGATCACGTGATCAAACTTCAGATGCATGGCAACTGGTTCATACTTATGACCGTTGCTGTGTCCCAAGATCATGTGATCACCTTTTGCAAACTTCTGACAAGCAAAGTCAACGGAGAAGCCAGGTTCACTTAACAACGAGGTTACCAACTTATCAACTGCAGTGGTTCACTTAACAACTGCAGCAAGAAAGGTCGAAAAATGGGGTAAAACTCGCTTAACAAATGTCTTACTTGACAGAAACGTTGGGCTCAATTGTGGTCATAAATTGAGGATTATCTGTGTTGCAGAGTGGAGTGAGAGGCAAAATACCACCAGAAGGCTCAGATAGTCAAAGATCTCGTGAGCGGGATATTTTGTTTTAGCCTTCACCATGTGCCAAAGCAGCCAAATTGCAATCTGGAGGGATCTGCTATATCTGGCCCACCTGTCTTTTTATCCTCTGCTAACCAGATATAGCAGTCCAGTAGTGGGTTGCTCCCGGTTCTGTCCGGTTCTTGAGAACCGGTAGTAAAACCGGTGGGAGGCTCCACCCACCCGCCCTGACGTCATATTTGACAGTCTGCGCCAGTGGTGGGTTGCTCCCAGTTTGGACTGTTTCGCAAGAAACGGTAGTAAAACCGGTGGGAGGCTCCGTCCACTGACCCGGATGTTGTCATAGATGATCTGCGCATGCGCAGAAGCTTGGCGTGGGCGCGAGCAAAGCAAGCACGCACGTGTGCTCCTGTTGCGAACCGGTAGTAAAGGTAAGTAGAACCCACCCCTGTAGCAGTCCCACCCAGTTCCCAATGGGCCAGTCTGAATTTGGGAGTCTGCTCTTTGCTGAATCAATCCTAATAAGACTGACTCATTTGGCCAGACTTTTCACTTTGGTAAATATTTCAATATTTGGCTTGTCACCTCCACCTGCCTTTTCCCACTTCTCAGAATTACTTTAAAAACACAAGCATGCCTTCCTTATTATCAGCATCACAATGTCCTTTCAATTATGTCAACATCCAGGCATTAATGTGTACCTTAGGGGAGAGGGTACCACAGTGCTTATGCAGAGGGCTTGTCCTGCAGTAGTTGCTGGTTCTGGAATTGCTACAGACAGACAAATTCCCCTGTTGTTTGTTTCTTTACCTCCCACCCCACCTCCTTCCAGCAAGCATTTAGAGGTAGACTCTGAGCACGAGATTTAATTTGGCTAGCAGCTATGAATTTAATGTTTCAATCTTCTCCTTATCTCAGTTCTAATATCATAAGAAAAGAGAAAAACGCTTCTATCCAATTTCTCCGAACTGGCCATCCTTGTGAAATCCCAATTTCCCTGTCCCAGACTTTCTCAATCTTGTCTACTTCAACTCCCAGAATTCTCCAGCCAGCCAATTGAAGCCCACACACATTTGGAGCTGCTAAAGTTGAGAAACGGTGCCCTATCCCATTAAATGAGGAAATCATCCCTTGTGCAGGAAATTTTCAATCCCCTTGATCCCTTTGCTTAGCTGAAACAGACAGCAACTTTGCCTGCTGGAGGCTAAGCAGGCAAACTTCCTCCAGATCGCTAAGCTCAGTTCCCAGAAATCAAAACTCCTGACGTGATGGTTATCAACCTGATACAGGTAGTCTTCAACTTAGTGAGCCCAAAATTTCTGTTGCTAAACAAGACAATTGTTAAGTGTGTTTTGCCCCATTTTACAACCTTTTTGCCATAGTTGTTAAGTTAGTAACACGATTGTTAAATGAATCTGGCTTCCTCATTGATTTTGCTTGTCAGAAGGTCACAAAAGTTGCTCATATGACCTCGGGGACGATCATAAATATGAGATAATTGCCGTCATAAATATGAGTTAATTGTCAAGCATCTGAATTTTGATCACATGACCACAGGGATGCTGCAAAGGTTGGAAGTGTCAAAACTGGTCATAAATCACTTTTTCCAGTGTCGTCGTAACTTCAAATGACCACTAAATGGACTGTTGTAAGTCTGTAAGTCTTCTTCTGAGTTTTCAAACATTTATTTATTTATTTATTTATTGGTTCGATTTATATGCCGCCCTTGTCCGGAGACTCAGGGCGGCTTACAATGTGTTAAGCAATAGCCTTCATACTTTTGTATATACCTGCTTAGTAGGGCTTTCGCCCCCCCACTCCCAGCGGTGTTCTTTTTTATACAAAGTCAGCTTATTGCCCCCACAAACCGGGTCCTCATTTTACCTACCTCGAAAGGATGGAAGGCTGAGTCAACCTTGAGCCTGGTGAGATTTGAACTTGCGGTAATTGCAGGCAGCTGGTGTTACTTAACAGTGCTTTAGTCTGCTGCGCCACCAAGGCTCTTTTACATTGCAAAACAAGACAAAAATGACAGAAGGCTGATATATATTCTGAAAAGAAGATATCTCATATATATTAGTACCACTCTATAAAGCCTTGGTAAGATCTCATCTGGAATACTGCATCCAGTTTTGGTCACCACATTACAAAAAAGATACTGAGACTTTGGAAGAAGTGCAAAGAGCAACTAAGATGGTTAAAGACATGGAAGCTAAAACATATGAAGAATGGTTGTAGGATTTGGGTTTGGCTAGTCTAGAGAAAAGAAGGACTAGTGGGGACATGATAGCAGCATTCCAGTATTTGAGAGGCTGCCACAAAGAAGAGGGGGTCAATTTATTTTCCAAAGCACCAGAGGACAAGAAACAATGGATGGAAACTAATCAAAGAGAGAAGCAACTTGGAATTGAGGAGAAACTTCCTAACAGTGAGGACAATTAACCAATGGAACAGCTTGCCTTCAGACGTTGTGGATGTTTCATCACTGGAGGTTTTTAAGAAGAGACTGCGCAGTCACTTGTCTGAAATGATATAGGATCTCCTGCTTGAGCAGGGGGCTGGACTAGAAGACCTCTAAGGTCCCTTCCAACTCTATTCTGATTCCAAAAAGCTTTATGTTATTACTGTCATTAGAAGTGAGCCAACAGAGACCAAAATCCACTGACTTCCTGCTGGATCACTCAGACTAAAAGATCTGCTATCAAATCTGTCCAGTGGTCAACAAGATGACTACATACTGTCTGTGAACAAGGGACCCAATTCATACTGCAATGCTTACTTTGCCTCCAGCTTTTACTATTATATATCTGCTTCTTATGATTGCTATTGGTCAGTTGTTGCCTTTTCATCAACACCTTCTCTCCGAGGTGGAAAACTACCCATGTTTCCCCAAAAATAAGACCCTGTCTTAGATTTCTTTTGAACCCTGAAATAAACACTTGGCCTTATTGCCATGCACTCAAAAAGGGCCCGATTGGGCTTATTATCAGGGGATGTCTTATTTTGGGGTGGGGGAAAACAGGGTATCTCCCCTCCCCTTTTCGCCACAGAACTAGGCATTTGAAGGTAGACTGGATTTGTCCATGGAGGCTCTCTCTAGCTATCACAATTTTAAGAGGCCACTCCGCAGAATAGGGAGTTTCCTCCAATCCCAGCTGCCTTAACAACTTTACACAACTCCTTCCTTCCTTCCTTCCTTCCTTCCTTCCTTCCTTCCTTCCTTCCTTCCTTCCTTCCTTCCTTCCTTTCTTCCTTCCTTCCTTCCTTCCTTCCTTCCTTCCTTCCTTCCTTCCTTCCTTTCTTTCTTTCTTTCTTTCTTCCTTCCTTCCTTCCTTCCTTCCTTCCTTCCTTCCTTCCTTCCTTCTTTCTTTCCTCCAGGAGGAGGGGAAGGAAGTGCCTGCGCTATTTCTCCCGCAAACCGTCGGCAAAACGGTTAGAGAGAGAGAGGTTCGCTTTCTTCTGTTTCTTCCGAGAGATCGTGGCTCTCCCTCGCTCGCTTCCGAGCTATCGTGCCGGTCCGCCAAGAAGCCAACGGCCATTCGGTTGAAAGGGGGGGGGGGAGCCCTTCTCTTGCGGGCGGCATCCGACCCCGCTGCTAAGCCTGGGATGGTCGGGAGGGTCGAAGGACCGTCCGAGAGAGACCCGCGACAAGCAGCCTGGGGATTTTCCCGGGAGGGTGCAGAGCGTCTCCGGCGCGGGGCACCGGCACCCCCGAATGCCGATCCTCCCTCCGGCCACCAAAGACCGAGCGCGCCGCCGGGGACCTACCGGGGTGGCGATGAGAAGCGGCAGCGGCAGCAGGACGAGCGGCGTGCCGAAGAGCGCGACGAAGGCCTTGTAGCGCAGCAAGGAGCGCAGGAACGGCGGCAGCGCAGGAGCCATGGCCGGGAGAAGCGGGGAGCAGCAGCTTAGACGGGACGGGCGTGAGAGCGTCCCGGCCTTTTAAACGGCGCTCCTCCTGGGCGCCGGCCCCGGTCCCTCCCTCGGCCCGGCCCCCGCTGACTCTCTCCCGGGAGGCTGCGCTTCCCACCTCCGCGGGGTGTCTCTGCCGGGGACCCTCCTCTTCTTCCCTGGGCAGGCCGCCCTCGCAGCGCCTGAAAGGCTCCCCTTCGAAGCAGCCCCCCGCGGCTCTCGATCCGGCCTCCTTGCCGCTTTGCCCGAATCTTTCCAGGCCGACGGCTGGAAAGTTCCACATGTTCCTCGCCGGTCCTGGAGAGATGGAATTTCCCCAGCCTGACAGGCGGCCCTGCCTGTCGCCGCTACAAACGGCCTTCGAAGGATGTCGAAGAGCTGGAGAAGTTCGAGCGAGACGCACCGGCTACTCCGGGGGTGGGGGGATGGCGCACGTGCCACCAGGAGCCGCAACTACAGGACCGGCATCCATTGGATGTCTCCCCAGCTACTCACCGAAGGGTTCCCAAAGGGACCAACGGGGGCTGGTGCAGGGGTGAAATCCAGCAGGTTCTCATCAGATTCTGGCGAACCGGTAGTGGAAATTTTGAGTAAAGTTCGGAGAACCTGTAACTACCACCTCTGGCTGGCCCCTGGAGTAGGATGGGAATGGAGATTTTGCAATATCCTTCCCCTGCCACGCCCACCAAGCCACCCCCACAGAACCGGTAGGGAAAAAATTTCGGATTTCGCCCCTGGGTTGGTGCCTCTCAATCTTGCACAGGTGATCCATCGACTTTACAACAGTTCATTTAGTGACTGTCCGAAGTTACGATGACACTGAGAAAAAAAGTGACTTGTGTTATGACTGTTTTTCACGCTTATGACTGTTACAGCATCCCCAGGGTCACGTGATTTTATATTCGGGATGCTTGACAGCTGACTCATGTTTAGGATGGTCCCAGAGTGTCCCAGAGTCATGTTTGGGACCTTCTGGCAATGGGGAAACCGGATTCACTTAACCACCGTCCCACTAATTTAAGAACTGCAGTGGTTCACTTAACAAATGTGGTGAGGAAAGTCATAAAATGGGGCAAAGCTCACTTATCGAATTTCTCACTGAGCTACGTAAATTTTGGGCTCAATTGTGGTCGTAAACTGAGGACTTCCTGTGTTCATCCCTCCCGCTCAGAAATTTTCAGCAAGCAAATGGGGCATGTGTCTGCTGCCTCTCCCCACATTTTGAACTGGTCCCTGTGGAGTACAGCTCTTCCCTGGGGGGGTCTATGCTTTCCTGCTCCCTATTTCTTTTCTTTCGCTTCTTAGGTTTCTCTCCTCTGTTCCCTCTACCACCTTTCTCTCCCTCTTCAGTAGAACTTGAATTCAAGGCCAAACTAATTTTTTTTCAAAAGGTTTTTATTTGTACATCAACCAAAATCCCACTATGAAGGATATGGGTGGTTTCTAAATTTGATGAATAAATAATTTAAAAAACGTAAAGATGGAAAGAAATTATGAATTGAGATTGTTAGATCAGTGCCCAGTAATCTACATTTTGCATGGCCATTGCCTCTACAACAAAGCCATATACCTGGGCTTCTGTCTCTGGAGCCAATGAAATTGATGAAGCCCACTTTCCCTTGCATCCTGGACATAAACTGTTTCAACTCCTACCCTCAAAACGACTATAGAGTACTGCACACCAGAACAACCAGAACAGAACAGTTTTTTTCCCAAATGCCATCACTCTGCTAAACAATTCCCTCAAAGCTGTCAAACTATTTACTAAGTCTGCACTAGTATTAATCTTCTCATCGTTCCTATCACCCATCTCCACCCACTTATGACTGTATGATTGTAACTTTGTTGCTGGTATCCTTACAATTTATATTGATACTGTTTCCTGATTGCTTAGTTGTACCCTATGACTATCATTAAGTGTGTACCTTATGATTCTTGATGAACCTATCTTTTCCTTTATGTACACTGAGAGTATATGCACAAGACAAATTCCTTGTGTGTCCAATCACACTTGGTCAATAAAAAATTCTATCCTATCCTATCCTATCCTATCCTATCCTATCCTATCCTATCCTATCCTATCCTACCCTATTCTATTCTACCAGTTAAGAGCCTCCAGAATCCATAAGCTTCAGAGGCTTGGAGTTGACTCATTATAATCATTCTTTTTTTTTAAAAAAAAAAGTACCAAATATAGCTGTTTCACTGCATATACAGAGATCGGTTCTTATACTGCTTATAATTTTTCTATTGCTACACAACAGCAAGAAGAGTTGTCTTTTAATTAGTCCAAAACAATGATTACTAGCTGGGGTTGATTTATTTATTTGTTGGATTTACTCACCACCTTTCTTCTAGGAGTTCAAAGTGGTACACACAACAAAGTTTCTTGCCATTTTTCCTGCAACAACAACCTTGTAGGTTGGGCTGAAAGAACATGATTGGCTCATAGTTACCCAGGGCTCCTGAATGTGTGGATTTGAACTCGAGCCTTTATAGTCTCAGGGTAGAACTTTAACCAGGACATTACACTGGCAATCTTTTTGTCAGGGGTCATTTCCAGGTATAAGCAAAAGGTGAGTTCAGAACGGAAAAAGACCTATCTGAGTCACAAGGAAAACTTCTCACCTGGGCTGTAGAAAACCCATAACCTGCTAGATAGTAGCAAAGTGAATAACAGAGATACAGAATAACAGAGTTGGAAGGGACTTCGGAGGTCTTCTAGTCCAGCCCGCTGCTCAGGTAGGAAACCCTGTATCATTTCAGACAAATAGTTGTCCAATCTCTTTTTAAAAATTTCCAGTGTTGAAGAATTCACAACTTCTGGAGGCAAGTTGTTCCACTGATTACTTGTTCTGTCAGGAAATTTCTTCTTAGTTCTAGGCTGCTTCTCTCCTTGATTAGTTTCCATCCATTGCTTCTTGTCCTGCCTTCAGGTGCTTTGGAGAATAGCTTGACTTCTTCTTCTTTGTGGCAGCCCCTTAGATATTGGAACATTGCTAAGTGTCATATTCCCTCATATTCTTCCCTTAGTCAATTCTTCCTTTCTTTTCTGCAGATGTCTGCTATGACTTTTTTGGGGTCCCCGGCTTGGCTACAAATATTTGTCTGAAACATTTGGACAACCACTAAACATGGAAGCAAAAGACTACAATAAACGTGATGGCTTTACTGCCATCTGGTCGTAAAGATGTTTGCAACCTAGAGATGGTGGCCCTATTTTGCTCCATAAGAGCTATTGAAGACATTGGGAAGGGTTAGGATCTCTCTGCACCATTTCTTGCAGCTTTTGTTGATGGGATTGGAGGGGAAAATCTTAGGTTCTTTCAAAATCACTTGACCATATTTTATAGGCTGACTTGTAAAGAATCATAGACGAACACTTTTTCATTTAGCTGATTTATTAAAGCTTTCAAATCTCTGAAAAAAGATGGCATGTAGGTGCAAATAATGACAATAGGTTGATGGAGAAGGAAAAAAACATTATAGTACTATAATGTTCATATAATGTGCATATATTTAATTTATTGCTTGTAATATGCTTCTATATGTGTATTAACCTTTACACCATATTCCAAATACTTCGTTTTTTTAACAACTCTATACAGCATGCAACAACGACAACAAACAACAGCGTTCCGTGCACCTTTGGCATTTAGTCATGCCAGCCACATGACCACGATCGGAGACGTCTTTGGACAGCGCTGACTCTTTGGCTTTGAAACGGAGATGAGCACCGCCCCCTAGAGTCGGGAATGACTATCACATATGTGCAAGGGGACCCTTTACCTTTACAGCATGCAACAGTACACATTGCGTACTTATACAATAAACTATCCATTTAAGCAAAAAGAAAATGGGGAAAACAAGATTTGTCTAACTTCCTTTTCTCTCGCTTACAGTTTCTTCTTCCTTTTCTGCATACCCTGAAAAAGATTTGTGTGATGGGTATGTCTGTTCAGAAACCAAATCAACAAAGACTAATAATGCTTTCAGCATTTTGTTGCAATACACCTTTCAAACTTTCAATATTCTTTATAGAATAGGAGGAAGAAAATAATTGATGTGCTATAAGAACGGGGAATCCCCTCTGAGCCCCAGGAAATATGGAAAAAATAATAATGATCTGGTTTGATGTAAGGCAGCTTTAAGTAAATTATGATATATATTTTTTGGCAGGGATTGCAGGTAATTAGGAAAACACCTGCGTAGCAGTCAGAAAACCCTGGTGCAATCAATCCCAGCTGAAGAAAAAAGCTGGTGCTACGCAACGTTGGAAATACTGAATTTGATGCCAGAAGAATCTGATTTCTTGCAAGCCAACATCCGGGTTTTTATGAAACGGCAGATGAAATACACGAACCCTTCTGAATCATGCACAAAAGCTCCCAGTAGGAGGAGATACATCAGAAATGTATTTCCCTCACACACGCTACTCAGGGACTGTCGAGCTAGAGCAGGGGTCTCCAAACTTGGCAACTTTAAGAGTTGTGGACTTCAACTCTGGCTGAGGAATTCTGGGAGTTGAAGTCCACAAGTCTTAAAGTTGCCAAGTTTGGAGACCCCTGAGCTAGCGAGTTGAGAGTTCTGGCTGTCCTTACTCAAAAATCAAGAGGTAACAAGGCTATCAGTAACTCTTGAGTGGCTCATTCTCAGGGCACAGGCCCTCTTCCTAGGAATCACATTTATGTACATATATGCCCTCAGTGTGGGAGTTATCAAAGATACGGGCATCAATGAGTTACCAGAAAAACTGGCTTCTCCACATAGCTGGAGGGAGACTGGTAAATAAGTTGTGTCAAGTAGTGTCCTTAATCCACTTCTGATCTCTGCTGGGAAGTTGCCTAGACTGTGGCTTAGTTTTCACCTGAACCTGAACTCCTGCCTCCCCACACCCAGGAGGTCAGGCCTGAATAGAAATAATAATAATAATTTTATTTCTGTCCTGCTCTGAGGTAA